AGAAGATGCTACCAGTATAATTAAAAAGATAAAATATGATTCAACAACAAATACATTCAATGGATTTGCTACACCACTTGATCATGGAGTACCAATTAAAGAATATTATCAAACTGATTCATTTGGTAAATTGAAATTATGGTTTAATTCAAATGATAAATCATCTTTACTAAATGTCCACATGATCCAACCAGTACAATCCACAAATCAAACCATTATTCCAAGTCCTTTTTTATTATCAGCATATGGAATTGATAACACAGCTACAGCGAATGATATATTACAAAGATGGTGGTATATATTCAATCAGTGTTTACAAAGAAATATAAGAATTATTGGTTTTTCTACTGGTGAGAAAATAACTAAGTATTCTTAATTCAAATTTTATCAAAGAGTTACTGTTTTTTTTTATAGATGCTGATGCTAAATATGTACGTGCTATGCGATTAATGAGTGGATTTTTTGCATCTCTTCCAAATTTTTCAGTTCATCAACATCAACAAGCTTTTACAATAAAATTAAAATCACATTAGCCTTGGTTTTTTTACGCGAACAACAACTATTATTATTTTTTCAAGATGCAACACATCTAGCTACGAAATGGTGTAATCGTTTATTATCGTCTACAGCTGAATTACGTCTTGGTGACCAATCAATATCGATCAATCATTTATATAGCATTATTGATAATGGAAAATTTACTAAAATTGATCATGGCTTGACGAAATCTGATATTAATCCTAAAGATCGCCAAAATTTTAGTTCCTGTGTAAAATTAACATCTGATGATCTATTTAAAATTTTAAAAGACAATGTTGATACTCAGGGAACCTTGATTTATCTACAGATGTTTAAAATGATTATAATGGCTTATATTGATAAAAAAACAACGATTGCTGCGCGTGAGTATGCTTTTTTTTTCATGTTGCTTGAGTGAGAGCGTCAAACTCTTCACTTCAGATGTATCACATCTAATAAAACTTTATTTTAGGTCTTCGATCTGCTTGGTGCGTTGTATTTTTCTGTCGAATATGGTTAACATGGATCAAATTGAAAACATTCAATACAACACAATTCTCAGAAAAAAACAAAAGCAGATATTTTATTACTAGACCAGCGTATTTGTCTGTGGAAATAAGTGCACATCATTTATTATATTTAATTTTACTTGTTCAACAAAAACAACTACCACCACAATCATTACATATTCATACTTTTAGCTCGCAAGCCTGTGAATCAATTTTTCGAAACACGCGCGCATTAAGTGGAGTCTATTCAACTATAGTCAACTTCACTGTACATGATTTTTTACGACGTGCTCAAAGATTGTCACTACTTAATGATATTAAATTCAAGCATTTAAATGATAGATCAGTTAATAATTTAGTATTTTCAGTTCATTACAAACATCGACATGATCATCAATCATTAGCTACACAAAGTCAAAGAGAGGTCGATCTAATAGATGTCGAACAAGTCATTACCAAGGCTTATCATGAAGCAATTGATATGCTTAGTGGCTTAGAAGTATTGAATTTACTGAACGATAAAAATGTTCTTGGTTTAAAACCCGTAAGTGAATATGTATTTAAACAGTTAAATTCAAATTCAAAGATGTACGACTACTCATCTCAACTCAGTCAGATGGATGATGGAGAATTTGAAATCGATGATGATGATGATGATGATGATGATGATGATGATAATGATGACGATAATAGAACAGCAGCTGATCTTAACATTAATGATGGTTTTTCCTCAAATGATGATTACGATGATGAAGATGAACAAGATGATACTCGAAATTTAATAAATACAACAAAAGAAGAATTTTCTGAAATGAAAGTTCTTAATACGATTCAGTCTCACATAGAACATTCTTATTTTAAAGTTAAAATCAATGATGATACAAAATATATGCATAAACAAACTGCTTGTTGGCTAGTAACTGGCGAAAAAAGTAAAATTTCAAACGACCGATTGCTTCGAGTACAGCAGACTAATAAAAAAAATTGATTCTTTTTTGTTTATGAAACACTTTCTTGCATTTTTTCAATAAAATAAGCAATATTTTGCTGACTTTGAAGTTTTAGAATAAATGAATGTGCTGAATAAGAATAAGAGAAAGATGGTGTATTTGTCTCTAAATCAAGACTATTTAATATTTCATCTAATAGTACACATGATAGAAATAAATAAAAAAATACCGGACTCAAATTTTTATAA